AGTTCTAAGCTTCTAACGATAAAATTAATTGAGGTACGATTTTCACCCTTCGGTTCGAAACGTTATCTGCACAATTAAAATTGTGCGAATTTGCTTTCCTCGTTATAATCAGCTGGAATAGTTTTTTTTCTTTCTATGCAGATATGCTCTACAGTGGTCCTCGTTGATGACAAAACCTAGTACGCTGGATGAACCAATCGAAGAAGCCTCGTCACAAGACATGCGTCTTTCAAGTTCTCGTAGACTAGAAGGTTGTTTCAGTTGATATATGTCCCCCGTTCGGCACTAAGCTTGTTACACTCTAAAAAAAAAAAAAAAAGCTGACCTTACATTACGTTTTAGAGCTTATGTAAAACACACTTGCTTTTTTATTTGTATGCAATAACAACGCCCTCCTTAAAAAAAAAAAAAACATAACTCAAGTATTAGGAAATTTCAAACCTCACTGGAGCTCAACTGCATTTCAATGAATCGGGTAACGTTTCGTTACAACAAACAAAAACAAAACAGGATTCCTGTTTTCCTGCATTTCTTCTAATATTCGAGTATGCTTTAAAAAAAAAAAACAGCAAAGTAATAGAAAAAGGCAGGAGAGAATCAAAGCCCAACTCCGTCCATATGCCACGGCGGCTTCTCATACGGGTTGTCTCCCCAGACAATTAGACGCTGCTCCATTAATGTCGAGCCACATTATAAGCGCGCATATCAAAAGAAACGCTGCCAGCAAAAAGAAAAAAAAAAGGGAAGAAAATCCCATGAATGAATTCACTAGAGATCGAGGCAAAGCGCCTCGCATCAAAGATAAAGAGAGAGGGATAAAACAAAAAGGGCAGGGAGAAGAGAGAGGGAACGTGGAGGGCGCGCCACTAGTGCCGCCAAGCTTGTTCCTCGGAGCCGTCTGACTGTGGTGGCCACCATTATAAGAAGCGGACTTGTAATGTATTCCCGGGTGCACTGCCGAAGGCTCTGGCCCGGGTTAAATCTGGCCGGGCTTTGTGCCGTTGCCAGGCGCCGCGCTGATGGTCATTCTGATTGGACTTCATGCATTAGAGATTAATTAGGGACGTGTTTATTGTCGCCAGCAACTGACAACACCCTCGCAGACTTTTTATGCCTCTTTCATGTCGCTCATTTTCTTTCTGTGTTTTTTGTTCAGCCATTTGACACGCTTGATTTTCTCGCGCGGACAGTTAAGTACTACAGGCGTAGTTAGCAAAACCTCTGGCCTTGTCTGAGCACGGGGCTACTGTATACGCCGCATAGTGGATGATCAAAACGGTAAACGGTTTTAGTTTGGATGTTTCCTGCCCCTAAAGGTGCTAGCAGGTGGTTGACGTAATGGCTCCATCGAACAATGTTTTTATATTTCTCTAGACGCACATTAACTATAGGTAAAACCGGTTTCGAAGCCTTTCATCTTATTTTTTTCCTATGTTTTGCAGGTGTACGAACCGAACGATTATTGCTCTTTCTAAATAATATTATTTATTTACTCTGGAATGTCCAGTAATATTTACATAAACCGTGTAAAACGTTTAAGTAGCACATGCACTGAATATAGAAATTTAATTGCAAACTGAATAAAAAAAGTAGTGTGATATAAAAAATAAAGAACTAAGTTTTTTTGGGCGCACACCTATATTCAGCCTAGATATTGTTCCCTACGTGAGTTTCAATTAAAATCAAAACATTTATTTGCAAAAAAAAAGAAAAGAATAACGTTTGGATGATTTGTGTAACAACTGCGTTTTGTAAGCAAACAATGAAAAAGCGAAACGAAAAGGCTAGAATTCCGGATAATATGCTTGATTCCCATAATATTTTATCTCGTACCATAAGGAATATTGGGACGTTCGGTTCACTGGAGAAGTAGCGCCAACCAGACTAAAGGTGTGTTTTATGCAGGCATGTAGGTAACGCGTTACTAGTAACATGTTATTTCTACCTAGTTACTTTTTTCGGTAACAAGTAGCGTACTTAGTTACATTTGTGAAAAGGATAACGAGTAACGGTATTTCGTTACTTTTGAGGAGTAATGCGTGCAATAACGTTTAAACAGCCTTGTTTTAACTATAATCTGAGTATGCGTCTATTGTGACACAGGCAGATTGATAGCCAGAAAAACAACTAAACCGTGACAGTATAATAACGCTTATCACAGAACGCGTAAATCAAACTCCACAGCTAGGAATGTCCTTCACCCAGAGATCACAACAAGGTCCGTTGGTTGAACCTTCTAGGATCGTATAGAAACCGAATGCAAACCAGGATGTTGCCAACACGGGAAGACACAAAACCCACTGTCAACTTCGAACTCGCGCAGCATAGAGATAGATAACAAATGAGACAAGGAAATCCCAGAATCACCAGCTTATGCTGAAGCACAAAGATGCCGTTTCTTCGAGCATGTCAGTAGAACGACTGCTACGCGTCACCTAAGATGTATCCTCAAGGAAGCGGGGAAACATAGCCGATGAATACTTCGAAGCCAGCTACGGCTTAAGTGCAACGAACGCTTAAAAGGGAAACAAAAAACAAACCTTGAAACAGAAGCAGTTGTGTATTTGGTCGTCAAACTAACGAGAAAATTAACTCGTTACATTTAAGGTAGTGTAAGACGTTCCTCTTGAGAATCGGTAAGGAATAACGTATTTAGTTACTTTTTGAGCGAGTAACGAGTAATAGTATTGAGTCACTTTTTTAAAGTAACGTGAACATACGTAATACAAAAATTGGAAGAAAAAAAAAAAGGTAATTGAGTGTATCTTTCTTCAAATGTAAAAACTGACACTTTTGCCTTCAAATTTCCCGCTATTCATTGTGTGTTGTTGCTAATATTTTTATATGAACTCTATCGCTTTGGTTTCACCCACTCCTTGTAACGCCTGCCTGACTTGAGTAAGTAAATAAAACCAAAATAAAATGAAATCCGAACAATGCACCAATTTGTACTTAACAGAATTTACAAGCCGCATCTTTCCTTGCGGGAACCTGACATAAGCAAAGAATATCCGTTTGTTTTATCGACGTCACAAAACTAGACGCCAGTTCATCCACTTTCCCGTGTACGGCTTCAACCACTCGGAGTATCAAGCGGCTCGTTACGGGGAACCAAAAGCCAATCCAATCCGACCAACCCGAGCGTCATCTTGGGCTCCAGACATTAAAGTTCTAATCCTATTACTTTCCTCCTAATCCAGTGAAATGGGCTCGTTCCGACCGTGGTCCCGCCGCCAAATATGATGTCTTCATATTGGTCACGTTTTTATCTCGAGCCCTTAGTTCGCTATTACGTAATCTTTTTTGTTTGTTTTATGCTTCCACATTTATGCTTTTCCCTTTATGTCATGGACGTTTTTCAGCTGCTCGTAGTAGCGCAATAAAAAAAAAGAACAAACAAAAACACGACAGAAAAAATATATAATGAAAACTTTCTTAAAACGACTGTTCTCCGGGGGGCTCAAAATGACGTCTTTCGTAAGAGGATAACCGAGGTTAGATTTCCTCCTATTTTTTGTTATTTTTGCCGCTACTTTATAAACTTTTTGACATTCGTATCGGCGTGACAGCTGGGTTGCAATTTTACTTTGGGTGCCCCTTGCTTGAACATCGGATGGAATGTTCGGCAAATAATCTGCACGTGGTGTCCTTTCTTCTTGTTTTCTGTATAAGCCTCACAACATGTTTGCTGAAGTGGGGCGCCCACGGACGCCTAGCTGAGTTTCTGAAATGTCTTGAGCACGTACGCCGCGCATTCTTATACTTACGATTGGATCATTGCAGTTTTTGCGTGATCAAAATTGAAGTCATATTTTTTTTCTCGGCAGTTAGAGCCTTCAATTTGGAGGCGCTTGATTATTTCTTGCTGTTTAACTATATTTTTAAAACAATGACACTACGCGCCTTTCTTTCTTTTTTTTTTTTTTTAAGTACTGCGAACTAGGCATTATTATTAGCTATTTTCACACCCAATATCAGCAGTTTAATAAATGACTTTAAAGCGACTTTTTTGTTTGCTGGTAGCAGTAACTACGATGAGCAAACCGAAAATTCCGGGACTAGTATTGTCGCCTCAAAAGAGAATACAGCACGGTGATGCGCAGGGATTTCAAGAAAGGTCGGGCAAAGTCTCCTTACACCTCTTTGTCTTTTAATAACATTCTGTCATTTCTGAAGAGCGAGTATCGCTAAAAATACCTCCCGCCGCTTCGCTTCATTTTCGCCATGTGCCTGACCGATCATTTCAACGGTCTTTGTTTTTGATTAGTCTAGTTTGAGGCAGAATCAATATTCGCTCTCTCTCTAGGGTCTGCCTTCCATGCTGAAATCGTCATTGTTCTCGCGCGCCTAGTCAAAAATACAGAGCGTAGCTCCAAATGCTCACAAACGACGCATTTTTGCACAACATTACATAAAAGGACCCTTCCTTTGACAGCTGCTCGCGCATAACCGTGGTGCCATCTGTATATAAGCTACAAACTTAGTCCCAAAGTTCTCGAATCGCACCTCGTATTTGTTGATAATATACATTACCCTAAGTTAGTAACACAACTATGCATTATAAAAAGGTGTCGCACATTATCCACTGTTTTTTTGGTTCGCGCGCTACCTTAAGATTAAAAGATTGCAAGCCCGTTGACAAACAAGTGCACAGTGCGGGAAAAGGGTCACGGGAAAGAGTGACGGCGCGGAAAAAAATGTTTTAAACCGGCTTAGAATGTTCTTTTTCCAGGGGAAACCTAAATACTTAAATTTCTGCGTCGAATCACGCAATACTGTTTTTTTCGCTTTTGCATGGCTGTTATTGTTAAGTCAAAAACAGCTATTTTAGTTGTTAATCAAATCTTATATTTCAGGCTAGGAGTAGCCTTACACGGCTTCAACTTTTAAGGCGGGGAAATTATATATTTGTTACTGCCTCCGCATAGCGTGAACGAGTGTACCTATTGGCATTTCTGAAATGCAAATAAAAAAGGGTAGAATCCAGGAGTGATACTCACCATACCGGTGGACACGACAGAAGAATCAACAAGAAAAACGCAAGAGCCACCACTGAGACACAAAAGCGCCATGGATGCACGCTCATGGTGACGGGCGAGTTTCGGTCAGCGATCTTCGCTCATTCCTGCAAAACAGAAAAAAAAAAGATGGGCAAAGTTAGATTAGTGAAACACGTGCATTTAATCGTGTCGCTGGCGTATTGCTTAAAATTCGCTTTGATTCAAGGTCGTAATTTTTGTTTTCACAAAAGTAGGCAACAAAGAAGAAAAAGGCACTCGTCCATTTTGCCTACAATGCGGTCGTTTATATTACAACTATCCAGAGAAATTTCCAGCCTATCAAAGCATATCACAGGCGCTTCCTTCTGTGAGTGAAGAAAGCGGAACACCCTCAAGCACAAAATCTAATTTCCAGAAGTTGCGAGTGGCGTTTTCCGTAACTTCATTAATTATAAAGCGGAGTCAAAAGATCCCTAGAAAAAAATACGGAGTAGAAGCGACAGGACTTACTTCGCTCTCTAGAGACCCGGTGTGAAAACGTACGTAGGAAATTTATGAATATCAACAAACATGCTCCTAACAGTCCACCCAGAGGCTATAATAATCCTATAACGACCATCATAGAGCTCATGTTTTGCAGGCATTTTCGTGGCATCAGTCAATCAAATAGAATGGTAAAAAGGGCTCGTTAATAAAGAGAAATTCTGCTGGGAAAGAGCGGAGAAAATAGAAAAAGAAGAAAGGAAAAATACGACACACATTCATTCAGGTGAGTTTTTATCGGCATATCTATCGTTGCGTGACACTTTACCAGTCTGAAACACTTTCTCTGTACACAGTTGCTTGCTAACCCAGCGAAAACAAGCTACCCTGCTGACACTAATAATTATGAAAAGTAGTCAACTGTTTCAAACCACATATCTCGTGTGGCGATGGTACTGTCAGAGAGAAACGAGACGCCAATAAGTTAGCTAAATTTGAAGAGTCTTAAAATAGCTTCAGGTTAATTGCTGACATCAACGCCAAACAAAGTTTTAACACTCAGTGTCATACCCCAGGCTATATATATAGGCTATTAGTCCTTCCCTCTCAAAAGGCCGGTAATTATCAAATTGAATATTTTATAATTAAATCGCAGGAGTTCGACCCAATTCCTTCTTCTCTCTTGAATGTTCGCAGCCCGCGCCCCTATTGCAAAGAAATTATTAAGGCGCGTGAGCTAGGCCACGTCGACACTGTCCGGTGCCTCTGAAGCAATTTACTTAACTAGCAAAAAAGAGCTATCCTCACAAACAATATACGCATATAAGCCTACCGCACCTTAATGTAGAGTTTTGAAAGCGTTTGTAAACAAAAACACTTCCAACACTTCAACAAAATCACTGGTTTCACAGTAGAAATATCTGATTTCCTCCCACCTCGGGCGATGAAGAAAAAGGACCTGGAGTTATGCCCACCATTAACGCTTCACGCGGCTTCACAAACCGCCTTTTGTTCTCTTTCCCTCCGTCCCGACACGGCTGATGAATATAGAAAGAGACGGCGTTCTTCCGGCGGCGATGCCTTCGGGGGGCCGACTACACGACACCGACACGACACGACCCCGCGGGGACGTGGCAGAGCCTTCACGGGGCCCCCTTACCCGCCACCCGCGAGCAATCCCTCGACGCCACGGAGGCGTTGTCAAGCAAGTCGTGTTCGACCCAGACCTCGCTCTTCAAATCCGCGTCGTCGCCATTGTCTGTTTACACGATCGGCAGGCGCTCTCTGCGCCTCGCTCGACATATTTCACACCAAAGTCGAACGTCTTTTTTTTCTTTCTTTTTTTTCACCCGCTTTACTTTAGTCTTGGTGCTGCGGCGGCGTCTACTTCGCCTCCCATCCCATTGTTCGGAACAGGGTGGTGGCAGCCACCGCTCCCGTATACTAGAAGCGAAGCACTTCAATGTTCTGGAACCAACGAGCGAGATTGCGTTTTCGCGCGATCATTTCTGGTTTAGTGGTGCTTCGATCTACGGCTCGCAGAGAGGCCGATGCTGGAAGGGAAATGGGGAGATGGTGGTTAGAGGAGAGGGAGGCAGGCCTATCGCAGGAAGCGCGCATCTCATTATGGCCAGATACAAAATCAATACACGCCATCAAGGCTTTCTTCCTACCGGTCCTCGGCGCACACTCGACGCACAAAACTGAAAGCAAGATTTAAAAACAAAAACAAGAAGCGTAATGTAGCACTAAAAATGCGCAAGGGTACGAGCGTGCGCGCCAATGCCACTGTCTCTTCTTTAATAAAAAATACCCAACATACACAAGTAGCCGTTCTTCGTCTAAGACAGCGCAGATGGCGCGCAAGTTTTGTAGCCTCGAGGAGATATGTGTGAGGAGGATTCAAAGAGACAAAAAAAACGAAAAGAAAGGATGAAGGCGTCTCGAGGTGGAAGGCCTCCTTCTTTTATGTTTCGAGGGGACGGAGGGCGAACGCCGGGGCGGCCGGCAGAAGCACCAATGATGGTATGGCGGTGACTGGGGTTATCGAAGGACCGCTACAAAAAGGAAGTATCGATTATGGAGATAGAAGACGCGGCCAGTCGCTACCGGTATTACGCTCGCGAGCGAACAGGCCCGCTGTCGCCGCAAAGTACTGAAATAATGCGATCGTTTGGAGACTGTCCACAAGGCGTATAGTACGCCTTTACTGATGCATTTGTTGCTCCTGCTGCTGCTGCTGCTGCTGATGATGATGATGATGCTGCTGCTAGGGGTTGTGCTACAGACGAACAGACGATGCTAGAGACGAAGAGTATCCGCATTTTTAACTCGAGCGAAAGATGGCTTTTCAACTTTCTGAGTGGCGTTCTCCCAAACTCGCCAGAATTTCGTCCACTGGGAGCACATCGTTTTACAACACTGCGCTCCAGCGGTGCGGATTTTCTTTTTGAGCACGACCTCGACGATTGAGGGCGCTCGCGAAGGTGGGTGTAGAGTGGACAGTTAGAATGACCTGGACTGCGACGAGACTTTGAGGGACTGTCAGGAGGATCTCTGAAACGAGCCCTCGATGGATTCGGTACATTGGCGGGACAAAACCACGGGATTCGGAACTGCGAAATGTTTTTTGTAAATCTGTGTGTTTCGCACAACCGACTACCCATTATGGAGCAAAGAACCGACAACAACGCGTACGCATTTGAGATGTCTTGTTGAGGATCACGCAGGATGTCAACTAAAAGATAGTTGCGTTTTTATTTGGCTATAGGGTTTATGGCAGTGAGTAGAACTATAGAAAAATAATAAAATCAAACTACCGTAAAACGAATTTAAAGAAAATAAACTAGGGTCATTTCGTCTCGATTTTTTTTCGTCATTCCACGAAACCGACTCCAAAGATTTGGTGCGGACGGTTTTTTCAATTGATAAATGCAATTTTAAGCTTCGTCCCCTCTGTAATCCTGCGGTATCGAGCCCTCTCGTACGAATCTGGGGAAGAATGGGAGACAAACGGCCACATCCCAAGACAGAGAAGAGTGGCCAACATAAATTCCAGAAAGTCTAAAATGATGAGTGCCAAGAATTTATAATCTACATACAGAGAAACCACGCTAAAAGTATAGAGAAAACACAGCTCCCGAAGTACCACCCTAAATTGAGAATTTCGGGCGTCTGACAATCAAACACAAATCAGAGAGGAGCTCAGGAGACAAATGAGTGGAATTGGAGGCTTAGTCAGGGGGGGAAAAAATGTAATCCCAGCTCTTCGTCTTCCGTCTCGATAGATTTCTCTATATAGTTTCTTGGCTGAATTTCTTCTCTTAGCCGCGCTTTTGCCCCAGTCCACATTGTCGGTTCCAGTGAGCTTGAACGCTTTTTTTTATTTCTTTATGAGTTTTTGGTTTAATAAAACAAAAGGTCGAGTAATTGGACGCATTTTTTGCTTTAACATATTAATTATCATTCCTCAAGGGAATCGAAAACCCTAGGTTATTTTGTTTTCGATATGGAAGGTAAGGGGATTTAAACCGTTTGAAAAAGAAAATGCACCCTTTTTGCGTAATAAGAATTATAATTCGGCAAACTCCTTAAATTATGAGTTATAAAATTTTAGCGTTTAAAAAAGATTGTTTTTGTTTTGTTTTATCGATTATCGATGTCCAGCAAGCAGCGCCTCTTGCAGCTGAACAATGTTATTTTAAACACAAAAACGCATATAAAACACAATGTGCATGCGCTCGTTCGGCACTATACTACGAAGCAGAGCGGTTACTTACTACTAGGGTTCATATTTTAAAACAAAAGGTGCGGGAATGGAATTAAGATGGCACACATTAATAGAAAAATTTGGCTGAGGGTATAGATATGACGGAAAACGAATAATATAGCCCACAAAGTGAACCAATAGTTTTCATCAAATTATAAAATGCTCGCCTCTTTCAGTACAGGCATACCTTGCATTCTTTCGAAACAATCATCGAGCCATTTCTTGAAGACTGGAGGTAGATATCGTTATAAACTATCTACAAATAGTCTTTATAAATTTCGTCCCATCAAGCACACTCTATTGTGATAACAATAAAACATTTGTTTCTAACAGAGTTCAAGTTTCGGTTATATTCAAAAGGTAGAGCTTCCATTAGCAGAACGATCCTATTATCCGCCAGCACTCATTGAGCGAAAATATAGCTAGATCTATGAAGACGCACGTTTAGCGATGCCCCATTGGGTCCGTCGAGTCGTAGCATCGGTTGTGGTTGGACTTAAAGTGAAACGGAGTATTGGCGACTCTAGCGGAATTTACGGCACCTAGCGGTTCGAACAGAAAGCTATGGCGGCAGGTTCGCTCTCCAGCCTTTTCGAGCGAACCAGATATCCGCAGCTCCTGGCAGTCAAAAGACAAAGGAACGAAAGAAGGTTCAAAAACACGCGATGAAAATCACCCGTAGTTTCGGTGCTTTCGATCCACTCCCCTCTGACTCGAAATCTCTCCAAGAGAACGGGAGAGAGCAGGGAGGCTTCTCCTGCATAAAACTCACTATGCGGCGAAGTGGTTTGAACGAGAGTCTATGCCGTTGCTAGGGTGTGGAGACGCGGAGTC